CTAGCTAGCAAGCTAACTAACTAACTAACATGGATGACCGGGCTCTGGGTTTGAAGGGACTTGTTGTCGTCGTCGTCGTCGTCGTCGTCGTCGTTGTTGTTGTTGCTGCTGTTGTTGTTGTTGTTGTACAACTTCGATATGAGTCTTGGCGAGGGTAATTAAACACCGACTGTTCGTCGTTGTTGATTGATAGTAATAGGAGACATCACTTTAGACATGTGTCCTTCGTAGGACCGTTGAAAAACTGATGAAGAATCAATATCTCATCCCAGGACCATCCAAGGGGGTCCCAATAGACTTCAATAGACTACCCATGACTACTTTTTTTGTAAGGCTACACGACTTACTGGTCTCCAGTCGAAACCCCTTGGAAGGTCCAGGTAGAGCAGAAGGAGTTGGAACTCCTTCCATCCGCAGGGGTCGAGAGTGGTTGCGGACCAGGACAGCAGCTGGTAAAGCCCGGAACCCGCACAAGAAAATTCCAATCCCATCAAATGGTGAGCGCTTTGATCAATAGCCTTTTGGGTGCTGAATTGTGAAAGAAGCAAGACCTTGCTGGATTTGACGGTTGCCCCAAAACTGACACTTGAATTTTGGAGTTTGGGGTGTGAAAAACGGGCCCATCACAATTCTTTCAAGTGGACGAAAAAGTGGACATATTCGATCGACTGCCCACTGGCCCACCAAACCATGGTTTCGGTTGACATCCCTCAGAAAAGGATCTGTTCATTTCAACCAAGTTGCCCCAGGTGACCCTAAACCCTACTCTTCCTTTTGGGGTGTTTTGCAGCCGGGCGCGTCAGACGGGTTCCTCTGGTCTGGTGACCGGTGTCAGACGGGTTTCGCAAAGGGTGGAGCTCTCCTGCCCAGGAAGACAAGGGTGTCCTGGCGCCTCCGTACGCCCTACACGACTGTCCAAGATCAGACAGGATGCTCCAGGTCAAAAGCCCACCTCTTGGTGTGAAAACACGTTTTGTCCGCTCCGGCGGATGGAACCGCGAAGACTCTTCGAACGGGGCGCTGCACGCTGGCGATCGGCGACACCGGCGGCTCCTGGCGGGCCAAAGCACGGTGACCTGTCCACCGCACTCGTTCCGGTCCACTCGGACTGAGTCAAACCTGGTCTGAACATGTCTGAACCCCATCTTCATACTAGTAACCTTGGTCCTGACGTACACAGTGAAACACCATGGTCAAGACCAACCTGGGCTTCAGGTTCAGCAAAATGATCCTTCGAACACTTCCTGTCGGATCCCTTTAGAAGCCGTGCCACCTGTCACTCCCTGAGGACGCCGTTGACCCCACGGTACCGACGGGGGGACTTGAGGAGCACAACGAGACGGGCTGACGAACAGCGGTCTGCCTGCCGCTGACGGTCTGCCCACAAGACCAGTTCCACCGGCCCCCTGCCGCTGACGGTCGATTGATAGCACCCCTTTCTCGAGGTGATGCGAAGGGGGTGTCTCAGTTGGACCACGCGCCGAGGCCCAGCTGGACTGTCCTCCGGGCACAGCTCCGCCACCGCCTCAGCTCCGAGAAGGAGCGGTATGCCGTCTGAATCGTCCGAAGCGACCGGTCGAGTGAAGAAGAACAACCAGTGGTTGCTTGGAAGAAACCAAGACTGACGGAATGAGGGATTGAATTGATGTTGGCATGAAGTTCTCCAATCGTCAAGGACGAAGCAATGGTTGGCCACCAACGGTCAATATCCATGATTTCCTTATTTGGGACGCGCCCCAAGGAGACTTCGAGAAGACTCCGTATCCAAAGAAACAAAAATGAAAGGAAGGAGGGCCAAGCCACCGAAACAAACCAACTGACCGCTAGGGTCCATGGGGGGTCTCATCACACTTACACTTCCTGAAATCATCATGGACGTGGAAAACCACCTGTTTGAAGAGGAAAATGGTCATCCAAGGGGGCCATTGTCCACTTCCATGATTGTTCCAGGGAGTGTTAGTCGTGAACAAGTCTTTTGGCAACACCGAAATCAATAGACAAAGACAAACCGGTCGTCATCCCCACAAAACAGTGTTGGAGTTCATGTTGCATTTCTCTGAGAACCTCTACATGGCTTTGGGAACCTCGTCCGTGAGCCGTGAAAAGATGCCTGTCCCTCCAGGCCTTCTCTTTCGAGGCCTCCATAGCTTCATCAACCGCAGTGCGGGACTCGAAGTCCAACTCCTGTTCCACCTGCCAGAATACAGAGCAGCTGCGAAAGGCAGCTTCTTGCTTGACCCAGATCAACTGACGAAACCTGGGATTCATCGGTCCCAGCTTTCCAGTTTGAAGATGCGAAACCAGCACGAGCTGTGGTGAGCTGCCAGGTGGTCACTGCTTTCACTGCTTGCCTTCGCTTTTTCAGGCTCCGCGCGTGTCCGTGCCCGATGAATGCTGCTCATTCCCCCACGCATTTCAAGGCGCATGGCGCGTCCGAACGCCGCCGGAAGATCGCCTCCCAAGTGCGATCCAGCCGCCTGGCCGGGGGGTCGGAACGGTGGGGAGAATGGCTCAAGCTTCATGGCTCAAGCTTGCAAAGGAAACAAATTCAATCCCAATGAAGGACTGATGCCAGGCAAATCCTTGGGCCTAGGCTGCCGCCTGCTGGATGGCCAAACATAATCAACTCCCCAAGAATATCATATCATGATCAGCTATCCGGAGGACTCGACTCTCAGTTTCACACACCTCCTAGGCCCTGACCCTGCTCCGCACACCTCCGCGGAGCTTGGGGCACGACACCTCCACGCTCGCCTCACGCAGGGTGCGTTTCTCTTCGTCACCCCTTGGCTGTTGGACGTCCATTCCCTGGGCTCCAAGCACCTCAATTTTGAAGGTGGTTGGGGTGGGTGCCAGAGGAGTCTAACTAATTCTAAGTAAATGCTTGAGGATGTGGGCCAGGAGCCAGAGGAATTCATCACACCCACATGCTGCAAAGCTCGACCTTCGAAGACGGTGACAGGAGCCGTGCCGTGTGACACCACCCATAAAGGTGGACAATGCCTGGAACAATCATGGAAGTGGAATGTGTCCCCTTGGATGTCAATTTTACATTACACGTGTCCACTTCCATTACTTTTTCAGGGAGTGGAACTCCATTGATGCTTGCAGATGTTTGCAGCACCTTCTCCGTGAAGACTCAAACATCAGAGAGTCGGTCAACTTTGATCAGCCCCTGACAATATGACGTCGTGACAAGGTGCGAAAGCACACGAAAAACATATATATGGCATATACAATCATATACATATGGATTACTAAAAGGAGCATGTCCCAGGAGAAACAAACAGCATGGGAAAGAGAAAAACACAACCTCCAAGACCATCCGTTGTCGACAATGGACTGCCCTACACTAACTTATGGGCTTCCACGTGTGTCTATTCAACACACCGGCTTGGAATGTTCCTGGCCGCCTAGTGTGTGTGTTTACCTCTTTGCGACGCACATTTCCTACTCCCGGACGCATGCGAGTTCTCACTGTGGCAAAGTGGAGGTTCGGCCTGGTGAACAAGAGGAAAAGACACATACCAAATATGCGCGAATGTAAACCTCTATGGTTTATGTATTATATATGTGTCATATTATATATTATATATATCATCATATCATATTATATCATTATATCCTTATATCCATAAATCTTATATCATATTCTTATATTCATTCATATTTTGCCCACAGCCATGTGCATTGTTCCTTGTGAGGAAGATTCGTTGGACTGTCCTCTCATCTTTCCCGGTGCCCAAAGCCATATTTGCTCAACTCGGTGGTTCTGTAGATGCTTGGAGCTTTCTACTGGCAAATGATGGCAGACGACCATTTGGAGGGTGAGCAGGAAGGGGCATCACAGATGTAGAGAAAATGGATGGACATGGATGGAACAGGCGTCACCTGTTTCGTTCGTCAGGGGTCCCACATTCAGGCTCCCCCCGGCGCCCTTCGGCCGTCCCTTTCCTTCGCCCTCCGGCCTCCCCCCTCCACCTGGGAGTGACGGAGCTCCGATTTGCTTTCAGACCGGTGGAGCCCACGTGTGTTGCTCCAGCCGAGTCTCGTGACTTCTTGAGGTTGAAAGACCGGTGTCAACCTTGTGCAAAGAAGAAAACACCAGAAATGCCAGGTCCCACTTTTGATTCGGTTCTCAGAGGGATACTTTGAGGATCCAGATCATGATCAATGGTCTCAAGATCTGGAGCATCCACTGGTCTCTCGATGAGTCCGTCAGCTTAAGGCTAAAGGCGTCCATCTCTGCACTGGCGTATCGAATACAAAAAGTGTTTGTTCGACTAAGATTTATTCAGCGATCAAAGATCAAAGCAGCTCTTTTCAGGCGACGTTCAAGCTCAAGAGACGATGAAGATGCGTGACTGTATCGTACATCGTCATCGTGAAATCAAGTGGTTGTATGTCGGAGTGTGCCTCAAACTGAGGAATCACCAACGGCTGATGAACGGGTCGTTTCCCTTCTATATGACTCCAAACATGGGCGCCTCTCGACAAAACCCAACATGTACGTTGGGCAAGCCAACATGCACAAATTGTTCGATAAAGGAAACTTCCCTCCGACCGTGGGTCGGTTGGTTCCAGCTACTGGTGCAGCTTGGCCACCCAGTACCGCTGCTTGCATCCACTCAGCCAGGTGACGGGCAAATGGGGCGTCCATACCATGTCCGAACAGTCTTTCCACTGAAATCAAAAGGCCTTGATGTACGAGAACGATGGCTTCTATTCGGATGATGTTGATGACGATGACGATGACGACGACGACGACGACGACGACGACGACGATGATGACGATTATGAACAATATACAGCAGCGTTTGGCAAGCGTCTTTGTCGTTTGGGGAAGTGTATATGGCCTTTGCGTCATTGGTTCAGATCCCCCTTCTCGTAGTTTGCATGTGTGTTAAGCCAAGTGCAAGAAGCAAACGATTGATTAGGAGGGCCAGCCAAGCTATATAGAAGCAATTTATCAGCGTCTGATTCAATCAATTGCCACTTTTCCATCGAAGACTTCTGTTTGTCCGCCTCGCTCATTTGCCCAAACCTTATGGCTAGCGGCTTCACCAACCCTACTGACGTGAGAGACAAGACTGGCCAGCCACAAGACTGGACTATGCCAAAGAAGAAAACGTGGCCCGTTCCCGCGGCTTTGGCTGTTCGCCAACTTGTCACAGGATACCAGACTCTCTTCGCTGCGTTTTCGCCATCCTGATCCAAGCAAACACATGTCCAAACCCAGCAAATGCTGGCTGACCCCGACAAGCGAACCAAGTGGACGGGTTTACGGAGATCAAGTGCTTTGGAGAATCCCAAGGTGTTGACCCACATCCACATCAGACAACCAATCGACCACCGGCTTCGACAATCTCATTCCTTCGATGAACACCTAGCAGACCTAGCAGCCTAGCCCAGGGTCCAATTTGCCCCACCATGCAACCGCGCAAGACCTGCGCCGTTCAGACCCAATGTCCTTGGCAAATGGCGAGGCAACCACATTCTGATTCTGTGAGAACTTCACACCAGAACGTCACACTCAAAGGTCCTCGGCCAAGAAAGAGACCGGCAAGCGCGGCAGAAACGGGGGATAGCGAGATCGTTTACACGCTCGTCAGGTGTATAGGGCCCTGACTTTTTGGCTCGAGCCACACGTGGGGAGAGTGAAAATAGGGTGTTTCGCCAAGGAACATGGGATAGTTAGAATGACACCCAATCAAGAAAATTACGCCATGATTTGTATGTTTATATATATATATATAGAGAGAGAGAGAGGGATCCTCAACCATGTCGGCCACACAACGAAATGGTTCCTCCATGTTCCTCCAAAAGAAGTTTCTCCTGTGGTCATTGTCAATGCAGCTTGATCTTGATCAATCAACAAATCCGGTCTCTCCTAGACACCATTGACAAAGCAATCCACACACAGTCTATCAAGGCTCAAAAAGAGGTTTGTCGTCAGTGCCGATCAAGGTGTCCATCAAAGGGTAAAGGGTAAAGGTAGTAGGGTTGGCCCCCCTATTGGCTCTACATACATCTGGATGGCTTTTGCCACATCTTACATCCCCCTCTTTCATCGTGCTGCTGCGTCGGTCGCTCAATTGATGCTGACTGTTCATTCATAGACCTCCGACGAGGATGATAAACATCCATCTGGTAGTGGGGGGATCAATCAAGTGTTCAAGCCATACACCCCTGTTCGAGGATCATGGACAATCCCAGAGGCCACAGACCAACGCTATCGAACACTTGCAGAATCTCGATTGAAGCCAAACAGAGACGTAATTGTTTGCAATGAGAAAATGCGGTCATTGTGTTGAAAATGTTGGCCAAAGCGCATCGCGTCAAGAAAGCCAATGACCACTCGGCGCATGTAATCATGTTGAGCTGCCAGCTTCTGCATGGCAAGGCGCCGAGCTTCTGGATCCTCACAAACACAAGACCTACTGGACCTACCACATGCCTCAAAACTGTGATTTTATCTGAAACAAGAAGCTACTAGTAACAAGTGCATCGCTTCTAGTAACAAGTGCCGTTCAGCTCGGAACCGCTGTTCAACCAGAACTGAGACCCTCACCGACACTTCCAAGACCTCTTCCATGGCCTTTTTCATCTGGTCGCGGATGGCTTTTTGTGGGCGGTGGTTGACTTTCTTGGAATGGGCCAAGTGACAAAAGGAGCAGCCTGTACTTGTACACCTGCCAAAGGGCTTCCAGGAATGACAATAAAAGAAGGCTCACCATCAGGACCATCCAGGGTCCAGATGGCATGATCATTGATAGGGATTGATAGGGTAATCCATTGGTGATTCCCAAAGGATGGGATTCTCCAAACAATTGGGAAGAAAAACACGAAAGCAAGACCCAAAGTAACCACGCACGGGGCACCCTTGGCGGCTGGCAAAGAAGACACACGGCTGGCATTGGCCCCTGCTGTGTTGCTCGTTTGGAGCATCCAATTCCGCCAAAAGCCGTGGTGTCTGGTTCTCTCCAGCGGACCATGAGCTCTTGCGGACGTGCGTCGGCACGTCCTGAAGGGAAGCAACGGGCATCCAACAAAGAGATCCAAAGAGACGGGATGGCTTTGCGCCAGAAATCACCAATTGGGGTAGCAGCTAGAGACGAGCGAAATGGAAATCCCTTGGGCACCAGGACCGGATGCACCACGCCGCTTTGCGATGTGAAAAAATTGACTCCAAAGAGTGAAACCAACGGTCCTCTAGCATGCGAATCTCCAAAAAAGTGTTCTTCTCCGTGAAGAGGTAATATGGCCCAACTGACCCAAGCTCTGCCGCCATCCCGACCGCGGAGCTCTCAAGGCGATTCTCCGCGGATCTCAAACGGGGTCGGGCTGGGATCTGTTCAAACTTGGAGCCAAACCACACGGTGGGCGGTCCCCGAGTCCCGGAGATCTGTTCGACTTTTGGCCACCGAACAGCAGGTGGCATGGAACGAACAGCACCGTGGGTTCTGAGCAGATCTCTACATGAAGAGAACTTCCTAAGACCACTGTGTTGTTGCCACATGTCACATGTCATGAACAGGTAGAGACTGTCTTTGGGGCAAGACATCTTTCAGAAACTCGGCTATGCCAGGCACTCGGCTGAAAACCGTAGAAAGAGTGGAAGACTCAGAAACCCAAAAGATCCAAAAGGCTTTCTGAGTCATCAATGCTTCAGTCTGCTGAACTATCTGGGAGGACCATTTGGACGGTCCAAAACTAACCATTCCCGACTGGTCTGACCGCGCGCGCGGTCAGCTTCGTTCCTAGCACCCACACAGAGTCGCGTCTTGGAGTGGATCCTAGGCAGCCACTACATAAGGAGCCAGGGGCCCTCGTTCGGTCTATGGCCTATGGATCTAGTCTTGGGAACCCACTCGTTGCCAGCTTTAGTGGTAACTGGCATCCCCCTGGGTGATGGATCCACCGCCACCCTCTGAGAATGTGAGCAGTGTTCGACTCTTTGATGTAGGCAGTCGGTCTTGGAGGGTCCAACATAGTCCAACTACCGGAGAAGATGGCAGTGGATCCCCAAAGATATCTCATTCACCCCAGCAGACCCCAGAGATGGCCATCTAGGGCCAAGTGTCTTGAAACCCCATCCAGAAGGGTGGCAATGGAGCCCTTTCCGGTGTGGTTGTCTTGGGACACCCCGGTAGCCAAATTTGTAGGTGAGATATAGTAGGACTAGTGAGAAGGGGAGATTTTTAGGGTGTGGATCAGAACCACAACAGTTGTTTTCTTTGAGATGTCTTCCTCAGAGAGAGAGAGAGTTTCCTAGTTTGGTTCCATTACCATCCTTTTGGTGTACGACTCCCCTTCTGCACCAGGTCATAGACAGGGTGTCCTGAAAAATGCCTTGGAGTGCTCCAATCCATTCCCATCCGGACTGAACTACCTTGCGTCGCTATCCAGGATCTTCAGCTAGGACGCCCTTTGGATGGTCTGGGTTGGTAACGAGTGGCACACCTCTGCTGAACAATGGAAGGCTGCAGTTCCGCGATGCGGGTTCCGTGCCCTGGCGAAAGCCTCCCATGCATACTCGAACGGGCATGGCTGTTTTATTCCACACGCTGGTACGTTGCGCTAATGGCACCATCCTGCCAAACTGAATGCGGATTGAGGTGCTTCTGTCAGGCTGAGCCCTTCCCACTGCACCCCATCAAAACTGTACTCACATAGGACCCCTTCCCACTCCACTACTCCTTTTCGCTTCGCTTCGCTCGGCTCCCTGCGCTCGGCTCGTCGTGCGTGTCGCCTTCTGAGGGCCTTCCACCGACCAGTTCCATTCGAAGCTCTCCGGCGACAGGGCGCGAAAGTGTCCACCTGAAGGCGACAGGAGCTGGACGAGCTCGGAGGAGCGAGCTCGGAGTGATTGAAATGGAAAGCCAGTGGGGAAGGGGATGAAGATGGAAGGATGATGAAGGATACAGTATATGTTTCGTCCTGATTATTGATCCGCAGCGATCTATGAGAAGCATTGGTAAGCCCCTACAGTAGGAGGCTTTGATCATGATGAGAAGCACGGAGAAACTACAGTCATAGGAGCTCCAGCTTCCATTCCAATTCCAAACTATCCCACTTCCTTGGCTTTTTGGTGTCGACCCCAACAGCTTAAAGTCAACCTCCTGCGATCACAACATCCGAAAAATGACCCAGAAAATTGGCTTCCACAAAAGGGTGGCCAGAGCTTCTTTTGCAGGGTATCTGGTCGCGCCAAGCAACACCTCCAAACCATCACAGGGTGCTTCTCTGTAGTTATATACCTGGAGCTGATCTTGCTGACCGGAACTGAGTCACCCTCATCAACCTTCCTGCGGCGTGCAAACACCACAGCAAGCATGAATCATCGCCAAAGGACCTTCTTAGCGGTGGTATAAGAATACAAGGCCCGGATACTACAGCAACCGGTCAACATTGCTACCAGTAGTATGTCATGACTGCTCTGACCAATCCACCCTTTCGACGAGCAACTGTACAGGTCTTCGACACATAAATGTTGAAAGCTTGCATGTCCGCTTCCACCTGGCATGTTCAAGTTCGCTTCCAAGACATATATATATATATATGACATGCTCACGTGGAAACAAACACTCCATCACCATCTAATCGATGCCTCCATGCCGCAAACCCGGTGAACCCCGGGTGAACCACCAAAGTGTAGGTATAAATATGCCAGATATGACAGTATTGACCGGTCCGCAAGGACCGGTGGGGCTCCAGTCCCATCATCGGAACCACCCCCCTTGGAGAACGTGGAACATGAACCTTGTGCTTGAAGGACCCGATACTCGTGGGTGCCTGTCGGCCCTAGGCAGCCTGGAAAAAAGGGGTGTGAGGCAACCCAAAACGTGCCAAGGCCTGCTCCGTCCAATTTGAAAATCAATCGCTATAGAACTTGGCTGTCCAGCCGCCAGCCCGGTCCATTGCTGAGGGTTTAACCTTTAGTGGTTTAGTAAGAAATCCCTTAAAAACCAAAAGGACTAAGGCCCTAAGAATGCGAAAGAGGACAGTCCACAGAAGCACCTGACTCTAGTCTTTTCTGTACATCCAAGCATCCGGTCATCTGCCACCGGATTGTCATTGGGTTTTATGCCACTGATGGGCTTAGAAGCATCCAAGCACTGCAGTCTTGCCATACACATTTCCCTGGCCTGCATCAAAGGAGAGTGGGACGAAGAAGGAGGTATGCACCTGGAAGACAAGCATTAGATTTAGATTGAAAAAAAGCGGCCAAGGAAATACTTCAATCCAAGAGTTTGGGGTGAAGTTGTTATGGTCCCTCTTGAATTCTGATCTAAAAGTGGTCAATCGGTGTGAGAGCCCTTAAAGTATCCCCACACCTCATTCGCACAAGCAAAACTATGGAACAGCTATATAATAGGGGCCGTCCGGACTGGCAGCCGTATATTATATGGAGCAGCCTGTATCCAATCAAATTATCCAACGACATGTTTCAGAGTCTCCATGCTGCAGATCTACTTTGCGAGTGATGTGCAAGCCATCTGACCGAAGAAGCAGTACAGTACAAGAAGGCCACGTCGGTCTCCTCCGCTGTGTTTGAACACCAAGACTCGGTCTCCGTAGACTTTGATGAAAGGGAGTAGAACTCAGTTTCAGACAGACCCAAACCCAGACACCCCACGTCTGGTATATGTGCCGACTGACTGGGTGGTTGACTGGGTCAATGGGAGTATTCCGGTCCTCATTCGTTGTGTTAATGTGCTACAGAGTCCGTGTGTCCGTGAACGACGAAGACCTTCCGGCCGGGCCACTAAAGCACAATTTAGTGCTACAGAGTCATTATTGAGCGCTCACGGTTTGAGGAACCAATGCACAAATCATCTGTGGCACGAATTCACGCACCTCTCCAAAAACCCTTAAACTCCCTGGAATACTCATGGAAGTGGAAAATCCCCTTCGAGAAAAAATTCCGAATACCAATCAGGGACCACTTAAAGTAAAGCTGTCCCTTTAAGTTTCCCTAAACATCTAGGAACCAAATCATTGGTGCAAGCGCCAACCTGCGTCCTAGGTAGTAGCGTCCAAGTAGCTAGGAGTTTACTCCATTAATTAAGTAGGCGCCTACTTAATTATGTATATAAGTAGTAGGGGGCAGAGCGGGCTGTAAAAGAGCACACTTTGTCACAATCGACAATCCACACATCAACTGCCCTCCATGAAGGGACTCCTCTGGTGGGATTCATACCCAAACACTCCATATGGGACTGGAAAATTGACCCACATTTCTGTCAGTACCACCCCTGGCCTGTTTGCTGATGGATGAAATGGCAACCAAAAAAATGCTTGCACAGTTGGAAGATCGAGGTAATTCATCTCCTTTTACAGGGTGAACCTCTGAGTCAAAGCCTTTCTTCCCCCAGTCGAGTCTCGGCTCACTGAGTCTAAGAGGTCGTCCGGTCCGTATGGACTACCCCGTCCCCGGAGCAGAAACACAAAACCATATAAAAAGTGCAGGTCTAAGTGCATTTTTACATGTAAATGTACTGTTTTTGATGGTTGTTTTATCTTGTAATTTGCCGTTCCATTGCTCTTGGGGTCTTATCATTCAATTCTGAGCACCCACCGGCACGGGAATTCCTTATCGACAGGAAAGTGGCTGGGCCTGGGGATACGTCCATGTTGTATCATTGTGTTTGATGTTTCTGGTTGGCACTGGGTTTGCAGGAAGCCGTCGTCTTCCGGCCCGAATCGACCGAAGCAGCTCATGAGCTGGTGTGGAAGAGAAGATACCTCCATAGAAAAAGCCCATAGCTGTGGACTCTTCATGAAGAGAGCACCCCAAATATGGAGTGTAAAATCCTAGAAGGGGAGTAGAAAGGACATGAAAGGACCGTCCAACACACAAGGACCGTCCAGCATCACACACAAACACACACCAACCAACCATTGTCGCAAAGACAGGATCTGTTCATGAAGAGGCCTGTGCCACGGGTCTCTGCTCCCTTTGCCCAGGCGCAGGGAGCTCGGGCAGCAAAGAGGGAAGGTGCTTCTTCGTGGGATCCTCAGCGAACGTCGCATCCGAGCCGCTGTTCCCGAGCCCTGTATTCATCTGTGTTCCAGTATGCCAAGCATGCCCAGGCTTAGTCAAAAGAACTCAATTTGTCTTTTGGGGGTCCCGCAAAACATCTCCACCCAGGGTCGCTGCACAAGCGACAGTTGCGGCGTCCATACAAGAAGTGCCACGTAGTACCACCAGAACTGGCCAAAACGTCTGGAAAACTGGCCAACATGCAGAGATTCTTTTCTAGAGGTCCAGATTCGTGAGTCATCATAGAACCATACCATGACATCTGCCAGAACCACACCACGCCGAGGCTACACGTTATGAAATCTTGCCTACCGGCGCTCGGTAGGAATTGGGGTCCCCCAGCATCCACGAAGTAGACCTGGCCGACGGAGGTACCCAAACAGGACAAATGGGCCTAGAAGAAATGCCCACATGGGCCCCTGAGTCAACCACCCACATATATATATATATATATATTTAGATATCAAGAACTGGTTGTGTCCACCAAGAACCATGGATTTGAGACTCGACTCAATCCCTGAAGAAGGAATATCAGACGGTGAAGTGTGAAAGCCGCCGACTCTGCCTCCACTGGCCACACACCAGTGTTGAAGCAGTAGAGCCGGTAGGCCTTGGCACGAAGGCAACCGAAAGAGGGAGGAGCTCCATGGAGGAAGAAAGAGTTGAAGCCTTCAAGAATGGATGTTTCGTGAGGTTTCTTTCATTGGGATCATGACTTCCCGACATCGTAGGCCACAGGTAACACCAAGTCATCTTCCAATGCCTTCCGAATTGACCTTCTCTTTGAGGTGCTTTTGACCACCGCGCTTCTCTTGGTTCCAGCTTTGGACCACTTCCGACTCTACGAAGCACGGACCCTCCGAATCCTCTCGTCGGATCGGCGGTCCCACTGTGGTCCCCGGTCCTCCACGGGCTTGGGAAGGCCCTCCAGGCTCATAGTGCCTGCGCGTCAATCAAGCGAGCACCCAGTGACGGCAGTGATGGACAGTGTAGGGCCGTTTCAGAACTGTTCCGGCGCTGCAAGTGGTCAACTTCCAATATGACGAAAAACGCCAGGTTTGAGCCACGCCAGGTTTTCTATGCAAATTCAAAGGTACACTCAAAGAAAGAACACAGAGCAGAAAACTCGTCTGCACTTGGCAATGCTCTCATAGCCCTTTTGTCTTCTGGGCAACCAGGTGTGCAAAATTATATGGTATAGCCTGCACCCCCAAACCTCTACAGGGGTGAAGAAGAGTTCCACTTTTCCGCCGCGGCGACACCAACTCTGCCGCACTGGTGCTGCATGCACTGCGCGCCTCGCTCCTCGTACATGAGAACCTAGGGGCAGAACGCTTGCGGCTTGATCAGGATGGGGATCTAACAAGAAGCTACTAGGGGCTCCTGGCATCGCTACTAGGAGCAAGGACGCTACTAGGGGCTCCTGGCATCGCTACTAAGAGCATTCTCACTACTAGGATGGGGATCTGTCTACATTCGTCTTTGGAGCGAGTCCTACAGCACCGTGGAAAGGGCCAGTTCTGCCTTTTGTTTTGGAGACTCAAAGTTGCACGTGGACTTCTCAGGGGAAACATCTATACGATGACCTCATTCTAGGATCTCAAAAGGTCACTTTGAAGGTCCTGGTATATAGTTATATATATATATATGAGAATAATACAATATACCCGGACCCTCCAACAGATCACCACATGCGACTATTTATATAAGTCTGCAAAAGCCTCCAGAGTCTCCTCTTTGGAGAACGGTTGGAAGGTGCTGGTGTATGTATTCTGCAAAGTCCTCAGTCAATCAGTCTGCCTTCGTTATAAAGCAACACAACCAGAAGAGGAAGCAACATGCCCCCATGCTGACAATGGAAAAAAAAGAGGAGCAGAGTGTGCCAAGAAACTCCCTTCGGGTATCTGCTCTCCTTTCTTTCGATCACCTCACCTGACAAACTGCAAAACAACTACATACATGCAATCATCTTGGGAGATGAAATTCGTTCACACATTCGTGCCTCACTCCCCACCTGAGCAAACCAAAGATCTTCTGATTAAACCTACACAGATGCCCTCACCTGGATGATTTGATTCCTTTCTACAACAGACTGGTGATTAACGAGGGTGGCCGGATCCTTTCAGGAACTTCTATTGTGAGGCTGCGGGAGCCCTCATTGATCGTCTACAGTCGAGTCAGACTCAAGACATCGTCTACAGTGTACTTGGGAGCAAGGACGCTACTAGCACGCTACTAGGGGCTCCTGGCATCGCTTCTAGGAGCAAGGACGCTACAAGGGGCTGGAAGATCTTCACCCGGTGTCGCCGCTCCGGTCGCCTCTTTACACCGGTGCTTCTCCCGCCTCAGGGCGCTCGGCACAGGGCTCGAAGCTGGCGATGCCACTCAGCTCGCCACGGCCACCTGGAGCGAAGAGAGAAGTAGACTCCAGACCAAGAGCCGCATGCAAAGGCATGTGAGGTTCTATATCTATATATTATATGTTGGGCACCATTTTGAGCATTTCCTGATGTCTGGGGCAATTTCCAGGCGGGATGTTCAGTGCCAAACACATGGGGAATGGTCGTTGGTTCATGTCGTGACATGGATCGCGGTGTCCGTTTTCAGGCCATGCAACGGAGGACTCTAATTGTGCCTATCAAAAGACTCCCTTTGAGGCACAATTAGGGTTGGTTTCAATCCACACTGGATGTCAGGTCAAATGTGTGATTGGCGGAAGCAAGGTGGAGAACTGGAGAACCTGTCAAGGGTGTGTCAGGAATAGGTCTTGAGGTAGCCGTTTAAAAAGCAAAACACACCAGGAGTTGTTTGGAAGGCGCTTGCCCATCACCAGGTCTTCTGCCAGTTTCTATTTGGTTTTTATGTTGTTCTGGAAGAGGCTGTCAGCCTGTCCGGCGGTTTTCAGTGAAAGCTTCAGGGGAACCTGGACGAACCACCAGGGCAGAACATGGGAGCTCTTTCCGATGTGTCCCCAGAGCACGTTGTGCCATGCTGTTTCGGGGCCCTCACAGGGCAGCGTGGCGCAGCTCTTTAGCAATATGGCTGTGAGTCAAAACCAGGATAGTTTGAACCTTGGTTGACCTACCTGCGAGGTCAAGCTGCATGGTGGACCAGCTCTCTAGGTTTTGACTCATCCCATAAGATGTTTTGATCATCCAGTCTTTCCGACAGCTGACCTCAACATGTTTCGTCTTCCAGTGTGTCGAAGCTTGTTTCGATGGCTCACATGCAAGGTGAACCTGAAAATCCTGCCACTCCACGTATATTGCCTACACTGGGGTGGTTTCAGGCGTCGTAGCAGGCATATATTCCATATATGGCCACCTAGGCCTTCATGACCTTCTTAAGAGTTTGCTTTTATCTACTCAGCAGGTGAGTTAGCTTTGCGGAAGTGTTTTCCTCATCGACAAAATATCATTTGACACCGCCAAGACCTGGTTTGAAGAAGCTTCAGTGTCACTTGACACCGCTTCGGTGTCACTCATCTTCACTCACTCAGCTTCGCTATGCTTGGCAGCTCGTGTCACGTTCTTGGGAAAAAAAGCAAAAAAAAATTGTTCATGGACATCAAAAACAAAAGTAAAATCTTGATCCGCCACATCTCTTCGGATCTTTCTTTGTTTTCAGAGGCGCGTTGGACGGCGCGCCTCCCGTCCGATAGTCGAAGCGCTTCTTCACCGACCATCGGCCCAGCAAATAGCCTGGCCCAAACAACCAGCCGGCTGCTTGGTTCTTTAAAGGAATGGATAAATTAAAAAGGGATGAGAGATCCAATTGAAAAGACCAGAAAGTTCAATCTCCAGGAGTCCAAAGAACTGACCTGTGCGGATCTGACCTTGGAATAGTCCAGAGAGTCGGTGTGCTTTCGGTGTTTGACCCAAAACCCGTCCTCCCTGGTGGACCGGTCAATGATCAACCTCCCATGGACCGGTCGGGGTTCCTCCCAGCGTCAAAGGTGTCTGACCTGTGTTCGTCGCTTTGGTCGACCGAAACGGTCCGGTCTGACCGATGAGGAAAAACACGGTGCTCGTGCCGACCATGGTCGTTGGAGACATCATGTTCCATGTCGTTGGAGCACAGATCTTCCACCTGGCTCCAGCTGATCAGCTTCACTCACAGAGGGCCAAAAGAGTGTCACGCAGAGCACATCCAAATTGCACTCTACAGTTTTCTGGTTGGTGGTTTCAACTCACGAACGAAACAAATGAGTCAGTTCATCATCCCAAGTAAAGGTTGAAAATACTCTTAAATATATCTGAAACCACATAAAACCACCACCCAGTTGTTTGTATGTTTCGACATGTTTCGACCATATCCAGTTCACTTGTTCGCTTTTCGACGCGTGCACGGTCGACGGGGCAGTTCTTGGAGCTTCGCACCTCGTAAGGCGTCGCCATTGCGCAGGGCGGCCATGGGCGGCTTAAACCGCGGGGCGGCGGTTGAAACCGCGTGTTCTGTTCCGTGCAAAAAGGGAAATGCACTTCCTGCAAGCCGGAAAGTCGGAAACCCTTTTGTTCTGGCCAAAGGTTTGAAGGAACACGGTGAAGTACCAGCTGCTCTCAAAAGAGAAGTTGGACTTCCTTCTTCAATGGGGAACAAGTGTCTGCATCCTCTATGGATGCCTCATGGTTTGTGGGAGGTTCGATGCTTCCATGTGGACCCATCTGTTGGAGGACTGCCTTCCAGGGCCTTCCACTTCCCCTGTTTTCTCTTTCTCAAATCACAGAGCCATGACCCCCATACGCAAGGTCCACGAGATGGAGCTTGAACAGGTGTAAATTTTGTTAGGACAAAGGAGCTGCTGATCACTCATAGTGCTGGCATCCAGATGCACATCGCATGAAGTCGAGCTGAAAAGTGTCGGGGCTCATCTTGCTAAGCCTGTAGAGTTTCCGTGTTGCTTCAGGCCACATGAGACTGGAGCTAGCCAACTTTTGACTAAAAAGGATCCGCGGTGTCTGACAGAGCGCGCAGAAACTCGTTTCGAGTTCGGTAGCGCGGCACCCTGATTTCACGAACATCCTTTACTGTGTCTCAATTTTTAGGGGATACCGTACCCCCCGATAAAAATGTTCAAACACAGGGAGATCCCAGCTGCTTCCGTTCGGGGTCACCTCACTGGACAACCCTACACCAGAAAAGACAAGTCTCCTGGACAACCAGAACAGAAGCCAGTTGATGTGGAACCCTAATTAGGAGTTTCAGTTGAAATTCCCCTCACCCAATGATGTCCGACCTTGGAAAGAATGGAGGGGTCTGTGCCAGGTACCATATGCCTACTGAGTCCTACTGGTAGTACACTTGACTTGGCGGTTATCCGCTCTATGAATCAACCAACCTTACGACCGGGCTCAGTCAGGAGGTCACCTATGGCCTCCGGGTCCAAACCCTCTGTCGCCAGTGGCCAAGTCTCCACACTTCTTGGAGTACCTCAACAACGTGGCACCGCCCGTTGGGGGAATTGTCCGCGTTCAGCGGACATGGTCAGCGCTGGAAGACCTCTGACCCCTGACCCATCGCAGCATGACTGAGCGGAAAACCTGTTCCTCTGGTCATCCCACTGTTATATGACCGGAGACCGGAGCTTGCTTAGGTCTTTGGCCTTCTCACCTTCTCTCACCGGTCCGGGCCGCCGTAGATCGAGCTTTGAGTAGATCGACTCTTGATGAAGAGAACCTTTTCCCAGACAATAAACCCTTGTACAACCTCTTCATGAGTGGTTTATTTACAGAATCCCAGTGGTTTTCTGTAAAATGGGATTCAAACGACCTGCGGAGGTTCATCTGGAGTCATTGAGGTCTTCTCAAAAATGACCAAGCATCCAAGGTGGGAGAAGCGAGCGATGCCGAAAGACGCACCCTTGCCAAGAACAATGCTCAGCCCCGAAACCTAGAACCTGTACTATCGACTGTGTGTATCTACATAATGGTTGCGAATATATTTCTGGAATTTTTTCGTTTTTTTTTTTGGAACTTTTTTTGTTTTTCGTGTTTCGTGGCAGGTGCAGTACTTTGTGGACCTTGCAAAGCACATTTCGTGGCAGGTGCAGGACTTTGTGGGCCTTGGAGTGCAGAGTTTGTGGCAGGCGCAGGACTTTTTGTGGGCCTTGAAGTGCAGATTTCGTGGCAGGTGTAGTACTTTGTGGCCCTTGGAGTGCAGATTTTGTGGCAGGCGCAGGACTTTGTGGACCTTGAAGTGCAGATTTCGTGGCAGATGCAGGACTTTGTGGGTGTGGAAGTGTAGAGTCGAGTTGGTGGCAGGTGCAGGACTTTGTGGGCCTTGGAGTGCAGATTTCGTGGCAGGCGCAAGACTTTGTGGACCTTGAAGTGCAGATTCGTGGCAGGTGCAGTACTTTGTGGATGTTGAACTGCAGAAAGATAGAAAGATAAATTGATAGATAGATAGATTAGATTAGATTAGATAGATAGATAGATAGAGGAGGCATCTTTGCTTGGTTAGAAAGTTTTGCACCGGGGAGTTCACCTTAAAATATTGATTTCGTGGCAGGCGCGGGTGTCGGGGATGAAGTGCAGATTTCGT